AAAAAAAAAAAAACTCCAGCAAATGAACAAAAGCAAGGAGAATATGTCTTGCAATCCACCAAGACATAAATGCTTCTATATGATTAAATGCTAGCTTAGGCCTAGGGCTGAATTATTTATTTCAAAAATTACCTACATAAAAATTCAGATTTTTTTTTTATTTTTAAATTTGCCCACCTTATATTATTTATTTTTTCATATTAATCGGTATAAATATCTAAATGACTAAAACTTAACATGCAACACTATTAAATAATGTAAAACCGGTCGAAGTCAAATGTAAATGATTGTGATTAGCATTAATTCTTTTATTAATAATTGTAAACAATCTATTTTTTTGTTGTTTTTTCCTTGCAGAAACTATGTATAATGATTTTTGTTCCGTTTATGTTTAGTGAAATTTCTAAGTAAAAATATGATATAAATAATAAAATTGTCATTTTAAATTTATCAATTAGAAAATAAAATTAAGTGCCCACCCTAACAAGATTTTTTGGCTCTATCCATATGTTTACGCTTATTTGATTATTTTGTTAATTTCAGGTTATGCGGAAAAAGTAGTAGGAGTCAAGTCTGGAAAGGATTTCTTTTTCTATTATGAGTGATTTTGATTATAATGGGATTGTTATTGTGCCCGATGATTTTCGCATAATTGATAAATAGACATATCTTTCTTTTGATAAACTCGAGTTCACCTAGAAAGTAAAAGATTTCGTAGAGAATAGATGTTGAGAAATGGTAATGAAGAGTAATGAGACTCTTTAAAGACTATCTAGTCACCTTTGGGTTATCGAGTTGAGTCCTGTCACTTAAAAATAAGAGTTAGAAGGGTGTAAGAGTATTTTTTGGTATGACCCCTCTGATGATCAAATTAGTATGTAAGAGAGGGTTGTAAAAATACTGTTCTGTTGCTTTAGGACGAATTTTTGTATCTTAAACTTTAGTTTGTGAGAACTATTTTTACATCTATAGAGTTAATCATTGCGGACCGTCAAATCTCTTAAAAAGAAGGCTCGCTCATTTAGAAGACAACAAATGAGAGCCGGTGCTTGAGCAGTGAGTCTCTCTTTTCATGTGATAGAAGTTTTTGCATTTTATGTTTGGATGTTCGAGTATTTAATACTTATCCTTTTAAGTTTGTCGAGTAATAAATATATCCCATTTTTTTAAAAAAATATTTAATATTTCTTATTGTGCTGCGTATGCACAGGAGAGGATCTTACCGTTGGTTATCAACCTGCCTTCTCTGCCACTTTAACTGTCTTGTCTTGGGAAGAGGAATTGAGGATTGATAGTCCATCCTCCTTCTAATGTAATGACTACATTCTTGACTCTGAAAAGGCTATTAAATTGGTCAAAATATTTTTTAAGAAAAGGTAAACCCCGAAAATTATTTTTCGGTGACCGCGCTGGACGTGGCGTTTGTTTTTTTGCCAGAATAAACGGCCGGCAATGGCGACGTTCACAACTTTAGATAGAAGGATAAAAGATAAAATTAAATATGATATTAAAATAATACATAAGTTTATCTAGTATTTGGTAATACACAACATAAACGTTGAATAGTAATTATTTAATCTAATCGATTGTTTGGTTAATGAATTATTTTATTGTATTAATGTTGAATTAACAAAAATACTCTAAATTAGTGTTTGTTATATTGATGATAGTTTAATTTTATCAGTTAGAGGGTTATGATGATAAATGTGTAAAATAATACGTTTGAGTTGGATTATAATATCATCTCTTTTGGTGGTATTAAAATATCTTTATAATATAAATCTAACGTATAAAAAATATACGATAAGTATATGTTTTTGAAATTAATACGGTGTTAAATTTACTTACCAAACAAAGTATTAAGTCCGATTAAATAAAAAATAATACAATCTAATATTTAATTTCCTAATAATACGTCTATCAAACGAGCCCATAATTTATAAGCAATTCCAAATGTACACTACAACAAAAAAGGGTATTAACGACGAAAATTTTCAATTGTCAAATATATTTCATCACCTAAAGATCTTTATAGGTACCAACAAAAAAAAAAAAAAAAAAATCGTGGCTGAAGAAAAAATTTGACATTTCAACTCGTTCTCGGTGAAAAAAAATTTGTACCTTGAGAGTACTCTGAATGTGCATGATTTCAAAAAAAAAAAAAGGTCTAATTATTCAATTTTTTCATTTCTATCTTGCAAAATTTACCTTTAAGTTGGACTCATTTGGTAACAGTAATGATTGCATTTATTACTAAATCATAAATTAGAGAATGAAATGATTTAAAATTTAGTCCTTCAATTGCAGAGTTCATTGGTTAAATTACACTTGCTGTGGTGGTAGAAACACAACTATAGATATAAGTTGAACACAACTCGAACAGATTTAGGGGTGCAATTTGGGTCGGGCAACCCGACCCCACTCTGAAAAAATTAGAATTTGGGTAAGGATTTTTAATATTTGGGTTGGGCTTGAGTAAAAAAATTTTAACCTGAATTCAATTTGGATTGGGCTCGGGTTAAGGTCTCGGATTCACGGGTTCAACTCGAACCCGACAAATTAAAATTTATATATATATATATATATATATATAAAACATTAGTACTGATTTTTCATTTTTGTTCTATTGTTCTCTGTCTCTCTCGTTCATTTTCATATTTGTTCTAGCATTAGCACTGTTAAAAATTTGGTTGAAATTATTAGTTGTTAATTTAAGTGAATATTATGTAATATATGTATTAGGTTTAGAACAACAAACCTATTTTAGACTTTATCCGAACTCAATCCGAATTGAACCAATAAAATAACCCAAAGTATTAACCTGAATTCAACTCGACCCTCCCGAATTAAACTTGGGCAGTGCTCAGGTTGAGTTCCTCAACCCGAAATAGGATTAGGGTTGAAAATTATATACCTAAAATTAAGTTAAAATTAACTGCCAAATCCGTCCGAGTTGCACCTCTAAACAGATTGCACTAACTCACAATTGGGGAATGAAAGAATTCAAGTAAATGTCAGCAATTCATGTCGATTTTGGGTGGATTAAAAGGATAAAATAATGTGTACAAAAAGTGTGCACAAAATCATCTGCACCTGTCAGAATCAAGAAGTTTGAGTTAAAGATCTACTTTATTATCACTTGAACTATTCTTTTGGAATTTTAGTTGCATCGTTCTACACAACAAATTCAATCTAATTAAATAAGGTGAAAACTTATTCTTCCCCTCTAGCATCACTGACCGCAAAATTGTTTTAAGAAAAATGTTAATTAGACTTGAAATCTTGATTTGTGGATGCCAATAAATATTACAATTTCTAGTTAAATTAATGACAATAATTAATTAAATCAACAAATCAAATTAATATTGAAGTCCATGTAACATTGCTCATTGTTCAGTTTATTCACTATACATTTTTCCGCTCATAACACCATCCCTCTCAACGGTCCTGACTCACATAGCCCCCAACGCACACATGCCCGACCCACACCCCCCACCCCACTCTGTTAGCATTGCTCCTATGTTAACCCCCCCCTCCCCTCTTTACGCTACTCCCTTTCCCTCTCTCTCTGTCTCGTACACAGAACACACGCATGTCCTTTCTCCTCTCTCTCTCCTCTTTCACCAGTTTCTCTCATCTCTCTTTGGCGATCAAGCAACTTTGGGGACCCTCTCATCATCCAAGGTTAATCTACTTCTCCCCTATTCTCTTTCTCTTCTCAGGTGTTACTCCACAAAATACACCATACACCATACATCATGCACCACTCACGCACACAAACGAAAAACCACACTGCAGCACGCATACACACACACACACACACGCAACACACCCTCTCTCCCAAACACTCTGTTTTCCTACCCCACCCATAGAACACACACACACACACACACGTAGCAACACACTCACATTACTCATGTTGCACACACAACACACCCTTTTCCTTTACAAACACATTTCTTATCACGAGTGTTTTGTAAATTTTGCAGTTGGGAGTAATTGTAATTGAAATCACCAACCATAGTCACTACATGTTTGATGAAATTTCTCAAAGAGCCATGGACAAACTACAGTAGCCGCCACCCTCAGTGGCGGATTTAGTATGTGGGCAGTAGGGGCACACTCTTCTTTCTTTTATTTAGTTTCTTTATTAGTTCTTTTGGTGTATTCATCAACAAATTACCATATTGGATTCAATCATTATGCAAATCAAATTTGAAGAAATCCTAGAAGATTATGTTGAAGCTAAGGAGATGTAATCAATTAACCAAATTTTTTGATAGTAATATTAGCACTAATCTAAAATCAGATTTTTTATATTAGAAAATTAATTTAACTCTTGTAGAATTGATGGTTGTTTGGTGTATTATTTATGGACTTATGTAAGTTTTTTTTTTCCGTCTTGGGTCACCACTCAACTATTTTAGATTTTTGTTAAAGCCCATGTTTAGATTGGTTATATGAGATTCTTGGTTAGTGCTATTTTTCTTCCCTACGATTAAATTGCTATAATTGATTTCTTGAAATTCTAGTTGGGATTATATTTTGGATTTATGGATTATATTTTGATTATGTATAGTCCATTATCTCATTTGTTACGAACTTAATGATAAACTCTTAAATTTTAATCTAATTAGATAAATTTATTTTTTAATCAGCTATGAATAAGTTGCCCCACTGAGGCAAAATCCTGACTCCGCCCCCAGCCACCACCACATGTAACTCCCCTTCCACCCCATCTCTGTCACTTTCTCTTCACCTCGCTGTACACACGCACACGGCACAACACAACACACACACCCAACACAGGCACACATCATAGATCACACACGCGCACAAAATGGAGATA